GAGCGACCGCTGTTGGAAGCTGCTGGATCATCCAAAACTTACTTTAGTGACATGGGAGTGTGTTGGAAGGGATATTCTGAACGTCGACGTCCACAGTGGAATCCAGTCCCCCGAAATTTGCCGGACACGGAAAAGATCTCCGTCATCGATAATCATTGTGCGCCACCGAAGGCGAAGGATTTCATTTCCTGTGCGTGTCCAGACGGATGGGAAACAGCGCCACTTTCAACTATCCTTGCTATTAGAGGAGTTACCCTGGGTAGTCTTTTGACCGGCGTGCAATGGTGGCTTCTGCTTGCCCAGTGTGATGTTTGCTCCAGATGATTCGAAACCTGTAGGCAGCTTTCAAAACTGCATGCAATCGTCATGCTGAACAAAACATCCATAAAACGTAAAATCAAAAGTGCGTAGCAATGACATCGTCCAGCAGCTTGTGGATGTTAATTTCACCCAGTCTGAGGAGAAGATGCAGAAACTCCGGCCGTGGGATACGAAAAATAGCACTTCAATTGAATTTGTGTGGAATTTTGGTTCATCAGGTGGCATGGGAACCACTCCTGGAGGCGAGCGGCGTACGCCCCTGCCACTGATATCACTGATAGAGCTGGCGACCTGCTGAGCTACCTACTAGACACTGCAGGATTAAACCAGCACGTGTCTTTTCCGACCTGTATTTCCAGAGGCAACTTGAAGTCCTGCCTCGACGTTGTCATCTCCAACGTACCAGAAGAAGACCTATCTGTCACATCGTATCCCCCTGTCGGAGCGTCAGATCATGTACTCGTCGGAGGACATGTGTCCCTTGCATGCCCACCACAAGCACCAACACCCCAGCAAAACGTCGAAGCTTGGCGCTGGAACTGGGACCCTGATCGCGTCGTCGCACTGAAAGAAGCCCTGAGCTCAATGCAGCTTTTGCCACCAGCTGAGGAAATCCCGCAGTTATCAATGACAGACCTCTGGTCGCATTGGCATGACTCGCTTATCAACACAGCACACTTGTACTGTACTAACTTCGCACCACGACGTACACACCAGACATGCCCAGGTCGGCGACCATGGATGACTCAACAGCTTCTTTGCAGCATTAAACTCAAGCATCAGCTCTACCGTCAGTATCTCAGAACTCGCAGCGCGGAGAACTGGCTCACATTCGTTACTCAACGCAATAGGACCACAACACTACAGAGAGAAGCTAAATCCGCCTTCGTATCCACTACCGCGCAAGGCGACGTAACTGGTGTCCCACAGCGAAACCTGTACAAGTTAATGAAATCACTGCGGTCGTCCCCGAAAAAGGAGCTTCCACCTATTTCAGCGAACGAAACAGTGGCTAGATCAGATGGAGAAAAGGCGGAAGCGTTTAACAATTTTTTCATTTCGGAAAGCCAGAAGTCCGTCTCCGGACCAACTGAAGCCGTGCCAGAGATTGGCGTGTCGCGCATCATCGGAAGCGAACTGAAGGAAATCATCACCACCCAGGAGGAGGTCAGAAAACTCCTTTCCGCTCTTGATTTCCGGAAGTCGGCTGGGTACGATGGCATCCCGACGAAATTGCTCAAGATCACTGCAGACGAAATATCGTGCTCCCTCGCAACACTTTTCAACGAGTCTTTCTCGCGAGGCGAGCAGCCACAGGACTGGCGCGACGCCACTATCAGTCCTCTACACAAGAAAGCCTCTCGTGCAGAGGTCACCAATTATAGACCAATCTCGCTCCTAAGCGTTGTCAGCAAGGTTCAGGAGAGGATTGTTCACCAACGCCTCTACACCCACATTGAGCCCCACCCACCGGCCGACCAATCTGGATTTCGATCTAAGGATAGTACTGAACTACAGCTCTCCCGCCTAGTGCATGAGATTTCCGCCAGCCGAGATTCCGGTCAGGCAGTGTCAGCATGCTTCTTTGACTTATCAAAGGCTTTTGACCGAGTCTGGCATGCTGGCCTCCTGGCCAAACTCGAGCACCTTGGTGTCCGTGGCATTGCCCTTACCTGGCTCACAAGCTACCTGACTCGCCGCCGACAACGCGTCAAGGTTGGCTCCGCTTTGTCATCATGGAAATCCATTCCAGCTGGAGTACCCCAGGGCTCTGTCCTGGGGCCTCTTCTTTTCCTGGTGTACACGATCGACCTCCCCCCAGCATGTACAAACTCTCACACTAAATGCAGCCAGTTCGCCGATGACACGGCATTACACGAGGGATTTGTCAGCTGCATTCCTCCAACGTGCCGTGGACGCAGCAGGACGATGGTTGAAGGATTGGCATCTCCTCGTCAACACCACGAAAACCGTCGTCCTTTCCTTCCAACCCCAACACACCATCCACATCACGCTCCACTCGACTCGGCTGCAGCAGGTCCACCAACATAGGCACCTTGGTGTTACACTCCAAGACGATTTGCGATGGACCCAACACATCATAGAAACCACCAACAAAGCCAAAAAACTACTACACCAACTCCACAAGACACGTGGCACAATGAACGCTTCCAGCCTATTGTTAATATACACAACCTACATCCGACCCGTTCTCGAATATGGCAGCCTTGCCCTCTCGAACACCACACAGCAACAGCGGGACACACTGGAGAGAATTCAACGCCGTGCTATACGCATCTGCCTTCGGATTCCCCTCTTTGCACCAGTTCACCACAGCTCCCTCCTCCATCACGCAAAGCTCCCCACCCTTAGCTCACGACTCCTTGTTAAACAAGCCCTACTAGCATGGGACATCCACCACCAAACCTCCCCACCACACCTGCAACAACCACATCTTGCACCACAACGTCAACACCAACCATACACCCTTCGACAGACAAGGACCTACTCCATCGGACACGCACACACGAACAGGCACCGAGACTCCCCCATCAACAGTGCCCTCACCCTCTACAACTCACTCCCTATCGACATCACAACCCAACCTCGTAGAAATTCTTTCCGAAACAATGCAGCCAGTCTTCTTTTGAGCAGTACCTGCTCCTGCTCCACGCATCCCCCTGGTTTCTGATATCTCGAACGTGTACTTAACTATAATATCGATCACCCCTGCTAACATTATTGCCCCCGCTTGTTTTTCATGATCCATTGCTTCTTGCCTCCCGGTTAATTTCCATCTAGCTGTTTCTGGCTAGTACCAGTTCTATCGCACTTATTAATCATCCTTATTGGCGTCACGCCATCGTGGAATAAAAGAATATTTATTTACAGTCAGAAAGTGCAACAACTAGGCACAAAACTGACGGAGTACTGAGACATTCGACGTCCTGACACCTAGCTTCAACACAGTCATCTCCGTAGCGCTAACCGACAGCCTTCCAACTTGGAAGGTTCAAGGTTATGGAAAGACCAAAGAGGGGAAGGCAAGCGCAACGAAAACGAGCACAAGCTACAGTCCCAACGGAACAAAGAATGTCGATTGTCACTGGAATGTCTCAGTACTCCGTCAGTTTTGTGCCTAGTTGTTGCACTTTCTGACTGTATATAGTATCTAGTTACAGTGGTGGAGAGTTACTCTTAACTCGTTTCCATTATGTCCTTTTCCTTTCTAATATAATAATAATAAATGATGTACACAATTAATGTATATGTACATGTACATGATTGTATTCCGTGACCCCTGGCCTTGTCTGTGTCTTTGTGCATGTCACCCTTAGGGTACATGTACGTTCGAATTGTCTTCATCAACTTTTCGAACACATTCTTCAAAGAGATTAGTTGAAGTGTCCCTGTGGAACAGTTTCTATCATTTTGGAGTTTTCAGTGGAATCATTGTGATAATGACGTCCAATCCGATCGACCAGCTCCGCGGGAATATTCCAAACTCTTTGGAACTAATCCACCCCTCCCATCGGATGAGGTTATGGAATTTCGAGGAGACTTTTGCTTTCTGAAGAGGCCAATAAGCCACCTCTTCAGAAACACGAAACTCCTCGAAAAGCCAAAGAGTGACAATTCGAACGCGCTCTTTGTCTTGGTTAGTCTTGCTTCTTGCGACCTTTCAACAGTTCCTTCACACAATAGTCAATAGTCAACATGCGTTACTTGTCAATGTTATGTCACGTCCGTGACTTCTGTAGTGACGCGACTCATGACGTCTTCGATATGCCTTCAACTAACTTCAAGTCCTAGACCTACTGAGCTCACACAGTGCCATGTTCATGCCATCCAGGCTATTCAGTTCAGTATTCTGACCCGTCCAGCTAGTTCCGGGTCTACAATACAATGTCATGTACATGTACATGTACATGTACATGTACATGTACATGTACATGTACATGTACATGTACATCAATCATTCAATTAAATTTAATCATAAAAAGACATTCAATAAGACAATAACACAATCATTAATTATTTATGATTCCATTGTGGCCGACCCACACTATCATAATGCCATTGGCATTGGCAGCAGAAAAAGTAACACGCGTTCGTTGATATGTTATTGTACATGACTGGACGTAACTAATTACTTGTTGATAATGCCTGCTGGTTTGTATGGTTCTCTCACACCATGTCACCATCACCATCATTGGGTTGATGCCTGGTTCCATCAGTCCTCACGGCATCCACCCTACCCGTCCTGACTCCTGAGTGAGGCCGAGGACTCATGAACTGCCACCGCGCCGGGACCATGGCATGAGGCATGATCATGACATGAGTCGTTGAGCGTTCCCCGACTCCCCCAGGGCCCGGCCCCCTACGGAAATCAAACTCACGTGCGCCCCAAACAATCAGCTTCCAAAGGCCAAGTGACTTTTGTTAGACTTTTTAGTCATTCATCATTGACATTGTTCATCGGCGCATGTGCTTTTTTAGTTCGAGTTACGCCACAAACTGTAGATCTGTCACCACAACAAAATGTAGCACGGGGTACTGACAGCTCTCTCTCTCGATCTCACTACATGTAGTACTAATATTATTATTAGTAGCAGTGCACTGTCACTGACAGTGCACTGCCACTAATATTATAATAATGTCAGCGCTAGCTCGCCCTTTGCGCCTTTGCGTTCGACCTCATCGGCATCCACAGCTGTACGTACAGGGATCGCAGGCTTTGCAGCCTCTCTGAGACTCTTATCTCCTGGCGTTCTGTTTACAAGTGTAGTTGCTGGAAACGTCTTTTTCAACGGTTGTCCCTAGCCCTCACTCTCCGTCTCACTGAGCGTGTAGCGGAAGTCCTCTTTCATCCAAGCAAGCGTCCGACGGACGAGTCGATTGTGGCATCAACACAGCTACACAGCTACACAGTCCAGGGGACGGTCGGTTCACCGGTGCTAGCTGAATGCAGCGCTGGCTCAGGACTCAGGTGTTACGCATGGTGCGAAGCTGCTTGCTAGGAAATAATAATTGTCACATCCGCCGAAGTACAGAACAGAACAGAGAAGGTCTGTAGGTCCAGCTGAACGCGTACCGCGGTATTTGTACACCAGTGTACGTAACGTTGTAAATATAACGTGTGTTGTCAGTGGCAGAATTTTTTCTCCTTGGTCCTTGGAGTTGACTAGTACAGTATAGTAGTGGAGTAGTGCTGGCTAGTGGTGGTGTTGGAGGTTCGGCACGGCTGCTGGTCGTGATGGCTACGTTCGAGAAGTATCGCCAGCGCCAAAAGGGCCAGGACAGTACGCTCCTGCTCCAATCAGCCCTGGTGGAAAGGTAAGATTTGCTGGAGTCAAGGCTGAAGGTTGTGTGGTGTCAATGGTATAGCAATCTAATCTTGTTTACGTTTGGAGTGCTGGATTTGTCACTGCGCGGAATTTTTTTATTGCAAGCACTATTCTTCGCTCCTTGCTCCTGCCGTCACGGTAGTAGCTTCACTCGAATGGTCAGGGTCCCACAGCAGAGACGTTGACGCCAGCTCGTGTCAGCAGCGACACTACTATACTGCTGTAGTTGTTCACTAGGCTCTGGAGAAAACAATAAAATTTAATTTATCGTCCAGTGGCAGTACCGACCTGTTGACAGGCTTTTCCGCAATTTTCAGAACCGTTTCTATCATTCACTGGAGCAGTTCTGCACAAGTAATAATGCTGCTTTCTATGTTTTTACTAGTCCCCCTCCCGCGTTGGTAGTTTGGTTTGGTCTGGCGTGCTGGTATCGAACCTTGTGCCAAGCCATTGACGGCTGGGCATGAGCAAGCGGCGTAGTTATGGCCGAAGCGTCCTCCCCTTCCCTGGCCGAGCCCACCCGCCGTCGACTGGCTTCGACCCGGAGCAGGGCCAGGAAAACGCCGGGCAGACGGTCCTTCCTGGAAGGAATGGAGACGTGCCGTCTGTGAGTACGCACCTGCTTCCTTTGCAAGGACGTTTATTTTGTCATGCGCTGTGAGGTGTGTTTGAGCAAGAACTAGTCGCTGAAGTCGTATCACTGGCCTGGGTCACGTCCAGCCATTCTGACCCACGTGGTGGTCATGTCATTCAAAAAAAAAACTTTCGCTTTTTTCGAGGACATTGAAATTTTTGTGCCCTTTCGATTTCGAATGATAGAGGCGATCGAATGTGGCTTTGTTGTTTGCGTTTTCATGTCGTGACTGGTCAATTATTGATTGATTGAACAGCGTGGATGGCTATTTGTGCAAGTGGATCCGTTCATTTCTAATGACAGTGCGCAGCGGGTTTCCAGCCTTTCGCAGTTTTCGGCTCGAGTGGCCACTTCCCCAGAAGCTTGAAACAGATTCGTTTCATGATTTCCAGTCCCTCTATTACCTAAGAGACCCCATTGTACAGCTGTGGCCAGATGGAGGGAACAGAGTACGTACGACTTTTCCTGGTTTGGATAAACACAGTGATATACTCCGGACATTTCCTCTGCTCTCTGCCCTCGGATTAAATTGTTCGGGATTGTTGAATGGGTGGTCCAGCATCTTGAATGGGCGAATCCATAATGTTGGAATTAATTATTTGGAAATAGGATGTGACGTCATGGGTTCCGTGTGTCTGTGTGTGTCTATGTAATTGTAACTGTTCTTTCTTAGTGTTACGATCATTGTATACTCATAGTCATAGGGTACCAGAGCTGTTGAACGTTTTGCATGCTTTGTCACTTTCTCCAATGTTGTATTGTTTTTTTCTTCTTCCTCTGTCCATTTCCAACCATGCTGTAGTAAAAACAATGTCTTGGAGCCAAAGTAAGTGTGTTCTCTCTCACTCCCCTCCCCCCCCCCCCCCCCCCCCCCCCACACACACGCATACCATTGACCATTTGACGCCCATCGCCAGAGGCGGTGATAACGATGCTACAGCAGAATCCATAGCAACTTGTGCTGGGATTGCACCATTCAACACCTTGGCAAGGCTGAAGACACACACACGCACACACACACACACACACACACGCACGCGCGCACACACACACACACTCACACGCACACACACACACACACACACACACACACACACACACAAACACACACATGCACACACGCGCGCGCGCGCACACACACACACACACACACGCCACATGTATGCAAACACTTTCTGCGGCCTGTGTTTTCCCTGGGTGCTGCAAGAACAAGAATGTAGTTGCCATTATGTTTGTTTCTGTTGCCCCACTTGTGATAATTCTGATTCTGGCAACGGTCATCTTTAACTTCTGTTTACACTCTCTCAACGCATGCTACATACATATAGCAAGCATGCACAGTGCTGCTCTATGAAATCCAGTCGCGTCACCCGAGTACTCGCCGGGCGTTGCAGACGCCTAGATCTGCAACCACTGGGCTGCGAAATGATGCAAGCTGACGCGACTGGATTTCACTGAGCAGCTCTGTAGTTGTGAGTAGCAGAAAGTAAATTCCAGATACTAGAGAGGATGGACGTTATTTCCGACGTGATGCGAAAGTTCAGCTCGTAATATTTGGATCGCGCATTGAAAATGAACGCGTGTGACTGCACCTCGCGTCGAAATTTGGACTTTTACGCCAAATTTGACGTGAAACTGCGTGTCGCGTCGGAAAATAACGTGCATCTTAACCCCTCTACTAGTCTAGTATCTATAATATTCTCTTACCCGTTTCAATCCACTGTTGGTTGGCGATGGTATGAGCGTGACAATTGGACTTGCCACGGACCTTGCGTTCGGTTTACCGTCTGCCTAGCCTTGTTTGGTCACGAGTCGGTCAAACCCTTGCTATTGGACAGGCACATACACACATGCACGCACAAGCACACACGTGCGCCCACACACACACACAAACACACGCATGCCCCCCCCCCCCCCACACACACACACACAGACCCTCCTCCTTCGTTCTAGAGCTCTATGTGCTGAAAGAAAGAACTGTTTTGTTTTGTGTGTTGATTGCAGGGTTGGCAATGGATCTGAGATTGGACCATATTTCGAGGACCTTGCTAGCAAGATTCAGGAGGAGGAGCTGCAGACGAAACGGCGAAAGGTGCGTGTGTGTTTGTGCCTGTGTGTGTGTGTGTGGTGGAGACCAGGCTGAATAGTGGCGGTCAATGCTTCAGCCTTGCGAGCTGTTGAATAGTCCAAGTCCAGCACACGTCGTTATGGCTTCTGCTGTAGCATCGCTATCATCGCCTCTGGCGATGGGCGTCTAATGGTCAATGGTGCACGCGTGTGCACATGCCCGCACGTGTTTGTGTGTGCGCATCTGCATGTGCATATAAATTATGTGTTTGATTGAAGTTGCCAGCACGGACGGCTGTAGTGACGTGACGTAATCTCCTTGTATGCCGTTGTGTCTATACTTTTGCAGCAAGAAAGATCGGAGAGCGTACAGGCGGCTGCACCGCTACTCAACCTACGCCGTGCGTACGCCCGTGCCAATGCCAAGGCGGAGAAGTCTGAGGGCACCACCGCTGGTGTAGATGCAGAGGATGAGGAGGAGGACGACGGTGAGGAAGATGTACCAGACAGCGACCTGTCCAGGAATCCCAGAGACGAACCGTCTGTTTCCGGCCATGCCGTAAGCAGTTGTACAGTACCCACTATGTTCTGTAGTGGTTATGATGATAATGGCATTGATGATGTCATGGTACTGAGTCAGCAGAAATGCTTATTTGGGGTGCTTTGTGTAGTAATAGGGAGGTTCCGGAGTACGATTTTTCGTGCCAAAATCCGTAGAGGCGCTACGGATTTTTTATACGTCGCTTTCGAGCAGTGAAATGTTCCGGAGTACGGAACTTATGTGTTTGCCGTCATTGCCTAGGTTACGATCCCAAACACGTCACATTCCCGCGCTATGCCTTTTTATTTTGAAAATTTGTACCGAAATCAAAACTTCCCGCGGAAAATTCATGTTTCTCGTACCAAATTTGTACGCGAAAAATCTTTCTGCACCCGATGACGCAAAATCTCCATACGAAACATGGTTTGTGTGAAAGCCAGTCCACACGGATTCTCCGTGCCGAAAAATCGTATGGAGCACGCCTGGAAAAAATCCGTAGCGCCCACACGGATTTTGGCACGGAAAATCGTACCCCGGAACCTCACTAATAGTGGTGGTATAGTAGTGGCCTGCGGAAGCGAAGGCTATAGCTTGTGTGTTTCTGAACATTCAAGTGATGCTATTGCTAACGCGGATCCCGCGAATATTATTGTTATTCTATTGTGTAATAATAGGTCTGCAAGCCACGCAGGAGTCCATTGCATCAACAGACAAGCACTGACTTATTTGCATCAGGGAGTCGTAAAATACCGTGCGGTATTTACGACTCCCCGATTTGCATCTACAGTCCGTTTCAAAAAGATTTGCAATCCTGGCGATCGCCCGCGGAGTTTGGCGTCTTACCGTATGAGCACTCGAGCGCTGCCTGGAAAAACTCACTGTGAACTCGAAGAAATATTCCGCGCGAAAGCAGGAAAAATGACAACTCACTCACGTTGATACACGTACACGTACAGTCATGTATGTCTGTTTTACAACAAACGAGTTCTTCCTCGTATCGATAATGGAGTCAGAGAGGACATGTCGAAACGAAAGTGTTGTAAATGTTGACGAGCGGCATGGGTCCCAATTCGTTTTGTGACCAAAATAGTTCCTTTTAGCTGCGATGCAATTTACTCACCGTGTAACGAAAACGACATCGACACGGACTCATTCCCAAGGCCATGACTTGGCAAAGCTATCCGTGTGGCTTCGATGACATTTTGAGAAAAGCAGACGCTTGTGAACGCTGATAGAAGACTGCGTTGACTGCTAAATTCAAATAAATTGGCGATCTTGAAATACTAAAATAAATCTCAAAAAGCTACAGCGCGATGACTACCAATATAATTCACTCACACCATAGGGCTTGAAAGTGATGACGTCAAAACGGCCAGGGAGTAGTAAGTTGACATCAGATTTCTATTTTTGGATCCACTAAGGTGTGACTTTGCTATTGCCTAAGTATGTGGGTGCATAGCAACCCACTCATGTCGCATGCAGGTGTGACTTCTATTTCGCCACCAGTCGTAACCCCGCCCCCAGTAGCCAAATCAGTCAGTTTCACTCGCTACATCACCATGCTGTGGGTAAGACCGCTTGAAATGTGCTTGGATCCATACAAAAACTGGATCCAAGTGGATCCAGTTTTTGAATTTTTGAAATTGTTGCTATGCTGTGACGTAGCACTTTCAAGCCCTATTGTAGTGTTGTGGGTGTGTTCACATGGCGCGAGCCAGTCAAGTGGCAGTCAGTTCGGCAGGAAGCGCGAGCTCCAACAACAAGTCGTTTGGTGCGGCCATCTTCTTTGTCTTGTCCCAGCTTGATCACCAAAACAATGAAAAAAAAGTTTGACTTGAGGATAGGTTGGGATTTGAACTCACAACTTCATGGTCAGCAAACAGCATTCATAACCGCAAGGCCAAAAAGGAAAGGATAAATCGTGGGTTTTGATAAAAAATCGATACTGGCTTCCTGGGCAAATTGTAAACCATGGGAAAAGGCCGGAAACCTGGCCGAAATTCTAACTCCTTAACGGTTGGTCCAATTGTTCCGAAACCTTCACAGAACAATTTGCCGTGTCCTAACAAGCAATTCTATGTACTTTGTTGTCCAATTTTCCTTTATCTTCATACTTTTTAAGACCCAAACTTGATTGTAAATCTTTTTGAAACAGACTATAGCATGCGCATGATTATACAGATGAGAGAGACAGTACGGAGAGAGAGACAATACGGAGAGAGACAGTACGGAGAGAGACAATACGGAGAGAGACAATACGGAGAGAGACAGTACGGAGAGAGACAGTACGGAGAGAGTCAGTACGGAGAGAGACAGTACATAGAGAGACAATACGGAGAGAGACAGTACGTAGAGAGACAGAGACAGTACGTAGAGAGACAATGCGTAGAGAGACAGTACGTAGAGAGACAGTACGGAGAGAGACAGTACGGAGAGAGACAATGCTGCGGCAAACACTATACACTACCCTATGTATACAGTGTGTATCAGCTGCTGTGAGCAGTGATCGGCTGATCGCTCTATCGGAACAGAGGACTCCACTCGCTGTAACGGGATGTGCCGTATAATCAGCATACTATTATTATAGTGATTTCTTTAGTGATTTCTTTGTAAGCACTTTTAGCTGTGTTTCCATGTAACTGTTGGGCTTTGTAATTTCCACCGTATCTGTGTTGTGTGCCGAAAAATCACAGATCTAGCAAGTGTGCATGTGCGCGCATGTGTGTGTGTGTGTGTGCGTGTTTCTGTCTGTCTGTCTGTCTGTCTGTCTGTCTGTCTGTCTGTCCGTGCATGTACATATTCTTGTTGTGTTCATGCATGCCTGTCCACTGTTCTTCTGATCCACAGCTGGAAGTGGTGTACCGCGAGGCACTTCGCGTCATCGTGAACCGTGTAGGTGCGTCTGATACTTCTAACGCCGTGGCCTCGTCCGACATGTACGCACACTTGCAAGATGTGTACAGAGTGGGCTCTGACAAACACCAGGAACTGTTTGGCAAAGAGCAAGCAGCGGAGGTTAGTACCGTATTTTACCGGTTGTAAGTCGACCCCGGTTATAGGTCGACCCCCATATCCGGAGGTCTCAATTCTGTTTTTAAAGTTATCACCCAACGAAGCACTACTAACTCTCCCTGCTACATGTACTAACACATTTTAACAAATCACGTAAATATTCCTTATTAGAGGGTATAGCGTCCCAATCCTTGAAAAAGGCCACTAAACTGGCAAAATGTGAACACATGGTGCACTCGTGCATGCGGTGCAGGTCATTTAAAAAAAAGACACTGATAGTTCTCGGTTATATGTCGAATCCCGGTTGTAAGTCGACCCCCACCCTTTCTCCTTCTATTTTTAGCCGTAAAAGGTCGACTTACAACCGGAAACATACGGTAGTTTTCCTCTAATCTTGGCGTGTACTACTTTCTACGCTGAGTTCTGTCGTGAATTGGTTTGCGCACTGTAAGAGTGGGGGGGGGGGGGGGGGGGGAGGTGCACTGAGAAACACCAGAAACTGTTTTGGTAAAGAGCAAGCAGAAGAGGTTAGTTATTCTCTCCGCTTGGCTTTGACTACTTTCTACGTTGAGTTTTGTCGTGAATTAGTTTGTTTTGTTTGTTCAAATAGATTCTTGGTTGGAGGAAAGCAAATCAGCAGGCGAAGCACAGAAGCCATTATAGTTTCGACTGGGCCTTTCGTACCATATCACCATTGTATTCGACTTGAAATGTAATGGTACGAAAGGCCTTGTCGAAACTATTATGGCTTCTGTGCTTCGTGTGCTGATTTATTTTATTTCATTTTACTTTTAACTTCACCAGGTACACGGGCATTTCTGCCTTCTCGTCTAGCCATACGGCTAGAACTAGGGCCGAAACGATTGCCCATTTTGCCTTAACGATTAACCAATAACACTAACGATCGATTTATTGGTTTTACCGATTTTCCGAACAAGTTTTGTACGTGTCATGTTGGAAATTAGTATACGGCAAAAACAATTTAAAATTTGTTCAACTATGTACAGGTACTTATCACTCTCGTATTATTGACCCCCACAGAAACTTGTGATCTCTAAGCGGTCAAATATCAGCATATACTGTATATCACCTTATTTTCGGTGTTGTAAAATTTCGGTAAAAGCCAACCCCTGACCTTTCGGTGTTGTAAAATTTCGGTAAAAGCCAACCCCTGACCTTTCGGTGGAAGGATAAATTCGGTATGCATGGCACCAAAAAAAAAAAAAAAAAAAAAAAAACGGCTCTTGCACTAATATCTCCGGCTAGGCTCCACTTATCATCGGTATGTACATGACGATTGTACTATACCAGTACACACGGCTGGGTTTTTTTCGCGAAATTTGGACATTCAACAAGATGGCAGCCAAAAGTCTCGATTGGGCTGGATCGGCAAGGAAATTTGAATTTTCAAATTCTCAGCAGCCGATTTCGCTGTGGTTTTCGCTCGATTTAGAAAGCTACCAGGCCAGGTTTACCCGGAAATCAGGTATTCCGTGTTCCTCTTGAAACTAGCTTTCCGCTGGTACCTCACATGGCCAACTTCGTCTCAGGAACAGTTTGTTCCGCGTTGCACAAGTCAAGCCTTCTTTCTCGCTCGTTCCTTGATTCATCGTTGACATGCCTGCGTCAAGAAGCCCTTTCAGGAGTTTTCCCAGTCTAGCTTTCAGTTTTCCCAGGTAGAGGACTATCTTCTGGCTATCTTCACCAAGTTTTATCACGTCCCGTGCACAAACTTCAGGTCCCGTGCGTTCGATGCTGAGCTACCTTTTCATGCGATTTAGGGGACAGATGGCATGGCGCTGGAGTCGCTGTTGAGTCCAGGAGGCCGAGGCCTGGTGGAAACTGCCCAGTAGACATGTGGGGTATTGCTGAAAAAGGCAGCAAGCACACAGATAGCCCCAAAATTGTGATGTAGATCCAATTGTGCGTTTGTTCGAGTGCATATCGGCAAATTTGAAAGTTGCACCCGTGATCCCGGCGAGGAGAAGCTGAAAATCAGTGCGTTCGTCAATATCCAGACTACCAGGGACAGCTTGGAGAGGTTCGAAAAGGTCAGGATGCTGGTTGACCATGGCAGGAGTTCCTTTTACCTTCCTTCTCTCTCAAATTGTCTGGATATTGAGTATCTCGCTCGAGCGCTTTCAAATAATAAATCCTGGTTTGACTTGCGAAATCGTGGAACCACACGGAGAGTGACATGAGTTTCATCCCAAAACGCAAACTCCCATCGTATTCATGAGGTTTGTACCGCGTTACGTAAATCGCACCGAACGACTCCATATTGTTAGATGTCCGTGCGCGAACAGCCGTGTACATGATTGTATACAAGTGAAATGGTGCAGGTGACTCAACACTTTCTTCAATGGCTGAGAGCTCTGTCGCACCCTGTAATAATATGTATACAAGTTGATTTTTTTAATTTGACAGTGATTTTCATGATTTTTACATATTTTTGGATTTCGGAAAATTTAGGTGTAATGTTAAATTAGGTGATCCAGGACCAGTACCGAAGTTACCGAAATTTAACCCTTTCCGTGCTAATGACGTCTATAGACGTCATGCGCGCTGTACGCCAAACGACTAATGACGTCTATGGACGTCATGAGATTTGCGCAGTACATCACAGCACGTAGATGAGTGTACAAACTTTCGTAACTCCGTCAAAAATAAGTCTATCGCGACAATCGATACACCGTTGGAAAGGTATTGAGCTCAGCTTTCTAGTAATATAAAGTTCTTCGCGATAGGAGAAAGATTGACGGAGCGGCGACGGTGTGAACACAGAATTCACGGCACTGAGCGATCGTGATTTTTTTTGTTCATGCATTCGCAGTTTTCTGTTGCGTGCCAGGGGATTTCCCTTTGGCGCAGCGCATGCGTAACGGACACCAGCGGGAGCATGTGGATCTCAGCTTTGCAGCGCAGTTTGAATCGTGAAAATCGGCTGAACTGGAAGAAGAAATCGAAAAAGAATGTGAGATCGAGTTGCTGCGCCTTTCCGAGGCATCGTGAAGTAGTTTCAAGAGGACATAGAAGTTGCACCTCTGTGCATGTTGAGAGGAGAGCTACCAGGATGGATTCGCTTGGTCCTGATCTTTCCAACAAGCCCAGGATGACGAAAATCCATCAAGGTGAACTGAATTGAGAGAAAATTCGTTCGGACCTGTGCGCGAAAACGACACCAGGAGAGTCAGTGCCCTGGAATGGCAGTTTGCTGGAGTAAAAGGGGTCAGCACGGAAAGGGTTAAATTACACCGAAATAAAGGTGTTATACAGTATTGACCGCTTATATTGACCACTTATTATTGACCACTTAGGCTATGATCGTTTGGTCGGATCCAGATCCAGATCCAAATCTCAGATCCGTCGGATCCTTCAGAATCAACCGAACACTTTTTTGCGGACCTTGGCTGTTGCCATGTTGACGAAGTAAAAAATGGCGCTGACAGGTCACCCAAAAAAGGCACAAGTCGTACTGATCGCCCGCGTCGTACGAAAAGTCAACAAAAGTCCACTAGACGTACGACAATGAGTATAAAAATGATTTTTACCCACCATATACGCACAAAGGTCACATTTGGATCTGATGGATCCAGTCAACCCTGCTCCCGGGCGGGGCAGGGTTGCTCGGATCCAAATCCGAAGGATCTGGATCCGGATTCGACCAATCGATCATTGCAGAAACAAAGAAATAAAAAATGATGGCCTTATTGACCACTTAGCCCGAGGACTTAGAACGTTTTCCTCAACTTTGAAAAAAATCAGAACCGAAAGAAGAAAAATCTGAAGCCAAATGCTGGGATTTGAACCTAAACTGTCAGATTCTCAGTCAAAGAACTTGGGGAACATACTACACGAGACAACTGAAAACTTTGGTTTACACAGAAGTAATGTCCAATGTAAACGGCATATGTACATACTATTATACTATTTCAATAGTATTCCTTTCTTCCTATAGCAAAGCAAAAACAGTTTTAGGTATGCTATGTCGTGATAAATCTATTATTGCCCTCATATTCGGTCAATATATGAAATATAGACCTCGTAAAAGACCTCGGGGGACCTCGGTCTTTTACTCGTTCTATATTTCATATATTGACCTCTTTAATCGTGCAATAAGTATAGGATCACGGCTGTTCATCTGCGGCCATCTATCAAAATGGCGTCGATTTCACTGGAAAATCGCAAATTTCCACATTGCACGTTCGATTTATGAACTTGGTGTGTTTTCAGGTGGATCCTTTTCGAATCAAGCAGAATCAACTAGGTAACCCTATGTAAATTGGGTTTGTTAGACCTGACCAAACGCGAAGATCAAAGCAACAAAATAAAAATTGTAACAGAACTGAGGTCAGTGAGGAGGACGAAGAAGAGCAGGACTTAGTCACTATGGAGTAAGCTAGCCGAAAGAGAAGGATTATAGTGGATGCCGTTTTCCTCCATGCCTTAGCTACGGCCACGGAGTGGCCTGGACATGGGCAGCGTTCCTGATAGGCGTTCAAGTGCGATTCCTTCGAGCCGTTTCATTGGCGCAGGAACGCTTCACTCTAATAAGAGTGGAAATGAGTTGAATTCCGCATGGATGCTCTCTGAGCCTTGCTCAACTAGCAAGCCAAGGCCACATGGAGTCGGGTTACAGCTGGCACGGCGCGCATCTCTAAAAGGTGCAGATTAGGGGTAACATGGCATTTGTTTCTCTTCACGATCTCGTCTTGAACGAGCTCATGAAATGTTCGATGTTGCTCAGTGCTAAGCCATCATCATTAACCTGCAGAAGACAATGGAAGTGAAGAAACAGTGCAAGACTGAATTTCTAGTCCGTGGTTTTGTCCCAGGAATATCTATTGGAGCTCGGAATACAGCAACCAGTGTAAAACGGATCCAACACGGCTTCTTACAGTTGGTATTACTGTAATATCATTCCGCGGCAACGACATAAGAGCACCGCACAGTATTGGCAGTATGGATGAGCTACCTTGTAGTGATATGATGGGAGTGAGCAG